AGTGTCGTACAGATCCTCTGAGCGTTGAGTGTGGTACAGATCCTCTAAGCGTTGAGTGTGGTACAGACCCTCTTAGCGTTGAGTGTGGTACAGACCCTCTTAGCGTTGAGTGTGGTACAGACCCTCTTAGCGTTGAGTGTGGTACAGATCCTCTAAGCGTTGAGTGTGGTACAGATCCTCTAAGCTTTGAGTGTCGTACAGATTCTCTGAGCGTTGGGTGTCGTAAAGATATTCTGAGCCTTGAGTGTCGTACAGATCCTCTGAGCGTTGAGTGTCGTACAGATCCTCTGAGCGTTGAGTGTCGTACAGATCCTCTGAGCGTTAAGTGTCGTACAGATCCTCTTAGCGTTGAGTGTCGTACAGATCCTCTAAGCGTTGAGTGTCGTACAGATCCTCTTAGCGTTGAGTGTGGTACAGATCCTCTAAGCGTTGAGTGTCGTACAGACCCTCTTAGCGTTGAGTGTCGTACAGATCCTCTGGGCGTTGAGTGTCGTACAGATCCTCTGGGCGTTGAGTGTCGTAAAGATATTCTGAGCGTTAAGTGTGGTACAGATCCTCTGAGCCTTGAATATCGTACATATCCTCTGAGCGCTGAGTGTGGTATAGATCCTCTGAGCCTTGAGTTTCGTACAGATCCTCTGAGCGTTGAGTGTCGTACAGATCCTCTGAGCGTTGAGTGTCGTACAGATCCTCTGAGCGTTGAGTGTGGTACAGATCCTCTGAGCGTTGAGTGTGGTACAGATCCTCTGAGCGTTGAGTGTTGTATAGATCCTGTGAGTGTTGAGTGTAGTACAGATCCTCTGAGCGTTGGGTGTCGTACAGATCCTCTGAGCGTTGAGTGTTGTATAGATCCTCTGAGTGTTGAGTGTAGTACAGATCCTCTGAGCGTTAAGTGTCGTACAGATCCTCTGAGCGTTGAGTGTTGTACAGATTCCCTGAGCGTTGGGTGTCGTACAGATCCTGGTTCACTCACAGCTGTACCATCCTCTCCAGACAGTACTGATATTTTCATGCATCCTTAAGGTTCACTTGCTCCTAAAGCACCTTGACCATATCTACCTTATCATGCATACATTTACCACACATTGATGAGGAACCAGCCTATCTGGCTGTCTGTTCATTTCCCTATACTCCAACATTGACCGGATAAAATATCCAAAGAACATTTACTTATCTGGATGTCACCCATTTTAGGCTGGGTCAACACAGAAGCCAATGCCAATTTTTGCTAGATGCGTCCAGTGGGATTATACCGTTTGGGTTGGAACGTGAGAACTTAGGATCGTTAGTCAAGCGTCTAGCCACTACTCTAAGGCGGCTACATAGAGACAGTGACTGGATTTCCCATCAAAATTGACGGCTGATTGCTGACGCTCTGAAAATATATAAGTTTTAGACATGATTTTCTGATGCAAATTCCTCATTTCTGGACTGGGAGTCCAAGCATTCCGTCGCTCAGCCACTGAGTTAAGTGCTTGGTTCGAAACTGTGAGCTGTGCTATGTGTTTGTGTGCACGTATGTGAATGTGTGTAAGTGTGTGCCGGTGATGGGTTGTTGACTGCACTGCACTGGCGGGTAGTGGATCAGGTTCAGAATGGTTAAGCCGTTTGCGAGTGCAATGCCGGCTTTCGAGATTGGGAGTGGGACTGTTAGTGTTGGCACAACTGACAGCTGCCTTATGCGATCTTCAGGATGTTGCTGGGACTGACATGTTTTTCATTAGTTTTCATATGGGACAGAGATGGGCATTTTCAGAAACGGAAAGGGAATAGGGTGACTCATTTTCAGCGATACAAAACCCTCGACTAAAGATACCAATCAGTGAACAATTTTTTAAAATAGATTTTCCCAATGTGTTGTTTTCTTTTCCGTATAATATTTAAAAAGCAATAGATTCAAGTATTTGATGCATGCAAATTACTTGTATTGATTGGTATCGTGGGTTGAAGACGAATAAATACAAACACCAGATAATAGCAAATAAATACAGAAACAATTTTTCATGATTGTATATTTTGATGACCACGATGATAATGATGGTGATGATAATCATGACGAGATGATTATGAGAACGATCATGATGACGATGAGATGACGATGAGATGACGATGATAGGGATGACGATGATGGTGAGGATGATGATGATGATGATGATGACGATGATGATGACGATAATGATGATGATGACGATGATGATGGTGATGATGACGATGACGATAATGATGATGATGACGATGATGATGGTGATGGTGAAGATGATGATGATGACGATGATGACGATGACGATAATGACGATGATGACGATGATGATGATAACGATGATGATGATGACGATGATGACGATGACGATGATGACGACGATGACGATGATGATGATGATGACGATAACGATTACTATGACGATGATCACGATGATAAAGATGACGATGCTGATGATGACGATGATGACGATGACGATAATGACGATGATGACGATGATGATGATAACGATGATGATGATGACGATGATGACGAGGACGATGATGACGACGATGACGATGATGATGATGATGATGATGATGACGATAACGATTACTATGACGATGATCACGATGATAAAGATGACGATGATGATGATGATGATGATGATGATGATGATGATGATGATGTTTTAGTCTACTGTCACACCTTCTATGGACTAGATGTCTAGGCTACCGACTTTATAACCTACAACCATTCAGCCAGTCAGCAGTCAAGCCTACATTATGCCAGCAAATCTTGGGCAGAAAAGTGCATGACACAAGAAAGCGGGCAAGGAATCTGATTTCTCTCGGGGGGGGGGGGGGGGGGGGGGGGGGGTGAGAGCAAGGTTCTAGAATCTGCTACGTGAGGATGATGTCACCCTGAGGTAGTACCAGTGCAGATTCTTTACATGGGATGTCAAGTGTAAGGATTCTTGAATGTTCCACATCAGAGGTTTCCAGTTGCATAAAACCCGGGGACCGCTCTAAGTCTGCCAGGAACCCATCTATTTTAACATCCACAATAAAGGAAAAATCTAAATTAAAATCACATACACGCACACACGTACTCAGAAACATAGGAGGTAGGAGTTTAATGATTATTTGTTTATGTGTGTATGCGTCTTAGTTGCTGAACATAGGGAGACCAGTTAAAACATTCATTAATAAACTACGAACATTCATTATCTGGTGATTGGGCAGAATACGGGAAATTATATGGTTTTATAGAAACAATAATGTTGAATCTTGGGGGAGAACTAAACAAGTTACACTGAATAAAGAGGCGAAGAAGAGGCGCTGGCGATGGATAGGACAAACGTTGAGAAAATCTTAGAGCACAAGAAGATCAAGAACAGTATTTCTAGAACCGGGACATAGTAATAAAGGAAGATCCAAAAACCATACCGACGTGTTCTGACCACATCACCCATCTTGTGCCGATTAGTCTATAAAAATATAGGCCTAGCCCTATATGCCCTGTACGTCTACAGGCGTTAACAAGAGGCCTTCACTTACTTAAAAAACACACAGGAAAATGGGCTAAAGCGTGAAGTTGAAAAGAGGGAGAGGGCATGGGGTGAGCGGCATAAAATAACATAGGAAAAAAAAAACCACTAGGTGTAAATTGGTTGAGGGCTTTTGCTTTATTGAGGGATACAGAGCAGAAGAAGAAGATATCTCCGGTCTGTTACATTTGTTTTGCGGACAGCGTTGGGGCAGATGAATCACAATTTGGGAACCACTGAGTTAGGCCATAGCATACTGAGGTGAACTGACCAGTTCACACCCTCGTAGCTTATTTCCCCTTCATATCCAACTCATAATTCACTAATTTCCATCTCATAATCTGTTGAAATCCTACGCATATCCAACTCATCCAACTCATATCCCACAAAAAGAGAATCATTATGAAATGCCAGATTGTTGGAGTCCAATGTTGTAACGATCGGTGATATTCTTCAATGCTTGGAGGGAAGGCAAGACGGACATTTAATCATTCTGCTGTTGAAAATGGGGACAGGGCGCTTATGAGAATGTCCAAATACCTTGATGTCGGTTCTCAGCTCAGCTGCATTTTGCTGATGGAGAACAAAATCCTAGAACTACTGGGAGCTGAATTCGAACCACTCCTTTGACGGAGAGAAGCACTAACCCCTAGGCCACAGGATTGTCAACGACAATAATGATAGCAATACAAAATAATAATAATTTTATTAATAATACTCATAATAAATATTTGGATAATAATACAGATACAAAAACTACACTTGGGTAGAAAATATACGGGTGTTTTGTAATGTAAAACTTGCGTCATTTCGTGAACCTAGAGGCCATTGTAAATTCGTTCTCACAGAGAGGCAAGGAGCCGAGAGGGGAAGGGTGACACTCGTTGTCAAAAGAATTGCCAGGGTTGAAGGAATGGAAGGCAATCGAAGGTCAGACGTTATTACTGCCAGGGGTTAGGTTTTCAAACACTCAAACAATCGCCGGCCATTTGTCGGGAACTCGGTGAGAAGCCGTCAACGGTTATCGATCTGGGGCGAACTGTCATGGCGCCTCGCCAAAACAAGTCTGCGAGCGGGGGACCTGGTTCTCTCGTCTGCCTGTGACCGACATTTCCCTCGCTGCGAGACGACGCGTACCACGTGATCGATCCCATACTTGATGGACACAATCTGATGACGTAATATATCGGGTGAAAAAAATCCTTATAAAGCTGAAGCGGCAGTGCTTTGTTATCACAACACACTTTTTGTGGAAGAATCTTCTGGTTAAACCAACTTTCTTATCATCAAAACAGTATGCAATTACTGGACTGCTAATACTAAATCAAGACTTTCAGAGCGCCATCCACATAGAGACGTTATTTCTGAACCACTACTGCTTATTAAAGTATAGTTCGCTGACTACAGAGACGTTCTATTGCAGCTAGTACATCCCTGCATTTGCAAAATCAACATTATAACGAGGAATTATTGATTGTCAACAAAGTCGCCATGACTTCAACTGATGAAATCGACAGCCTGGCGCCGAGTTCAACGAGCCCTACCTGTGGTGGAAGAGTAACACCAGAGGCATCTCAAGTTATCCCTGTGAGAAGTTCACGCAGCACTGCTGATCTTGATAACAGATGCAAAACCTGTTCTTGTGGCTCAATCCTGCCTGGGGTGCAATATGTTATACCAGAGGCGTCGCCAGCTTTTAGGGTGAGTAAATCAAATGTGATTGTCATAGGCGTACATGTGAATCCTTAACTATGAAATCCTGTCTAATGTTGTCTTGAAAAAACTATAATACCTGGTTGTGAAAGGATAAAGTATATTTTAGCTTAACTGACAGAAGAGTCACTAACAATTCATTCTATGGAAAAGGACTCATACAGATTGGTTCAACAAGAACTCAACATAGAAAAACATATGATTTAAAAAGACATACACAAATTGAGAAAAATGAAGTTTTCCGGATAAGTAAAATGGTACGAAAAACTGGAGAATGTAATTCAGGAAGGCGAGGACGAGGAAGATCCAGAAATGGATGGATTGAAGATGTCACAGATTACTGACACCCATTCAGCTACATGACAGGCCATTTTAGCGCATGATAGAAACGTTTGGAAAGTGGTAAACCTGTTTACAGCTCAGGCTGTTCGTCTATGAGATAATGAAAGTGATGCTATTGATTTAAAGGAGGATGATGATGCTGATGATGCAAAATCTCCGCCTAACATGTCGTTGTATATAAGTTCCGACCTTTGCAAAGTTCGGGTATATATTTACAACACATATAAAACGATACTCACATAAACCAAACACCGAACATAAATAATCAATGGCAAAATGCATTAGCGTCTTTGATTTGCAATCACATTATGACGTTAATATAGTTATCTGATTTATTTAAACCTCAGCCGTCGTTTATGAACTTTGTAAAACAAATATTTAGTCAGAAGGGGTACACGAAAACAGGGAAATGAACGGGAATGACGCAATTCGCTGCATATATTTGTAATATATGTTAATGTTTACAATTACTCCCCATACGTCCCCTGTCATACTTCTACAAGAGAGTCAAAAACTCTCTCGAGTAAATCTTCATATGTCTGAGTTTATCGTTCTCTCTCTCTCTCTCTCTCTCTCTCTCTCTCTCTCTCTCTCTCTCTCTCTCTCTCTTACACATAGACACAGTCTTTCTCATACATTCTCTCTGTCTCGCAAAATCTCCCTCTCTCAAACTCTTTCTTAAACTCACATCCCCCTTCGTCTCTTCCTCATTCGTGTCACAAGCCTTGGGCAGGAAGACATCAGAATTCATGTACAGGTTGTAAGAGCTGAGATGCGGTTTTGTCCTTGGACTGACTCCACCTTTTGACCCAGAAACTAATGCAGACACACTGGCTAGTGGATTGTTAGAAACACGATCGGAGATTTAATAAATACACGTAGAAAACAGTAGAGCATATTCCCTGTTTTTTGGTAATTCAGGTTGGCTCCAGGGACTAGATGATGAGGATGATGATGATAATGATGATGATGATGAGCAACGCAGATCAATAAGAAAAAAAGGAGAAGAAGAAGAAGAAGAAGAAGAAGAAGAAGAAGAAGAAGAAGAAGAAGAAGAAGAAGAAGAAGAAGAAGAAGAAGAAGAAGAAGAAGAAGAAGAAGCAGAAGAAGAAGAAGAAGAAGAAGAAGAAGAAGAGAAGAAGAAAGAAGAAGCAGAAGAAGAAGAAGCAGAAGAAGAAGAAGAAGAAGAAGAAGAAGAAGAAGAAGAAGAAGAAGAAGAAGAAGAAGAAGAAGAAGAAGAAGAACAAGAAGAAGAAGAAGAAGAAGAAGGAGAAGAAGAAGAAGAAGAAGAAGAAGAAGAAGAAGAAGAAGAAGAAGAAGAAGAAGAAAAAAAAGAAGAAGAAAAAGAAGAAGAAGAAGAAGAAGAAGAAGAAGAAGAAGAAGAAGAAGAAGAAGAAGAAGAAGAAGAAGAATAGCATCAATGATGTTTTAAACATGCATATATGGTCTCTCCTTTCTCAATTTTCGATTTTAATTAATGTATTTTTTCATTCTTTTTATTTACAGGAAACAATGGGAAAGATGAAATATGAACAAGTACAAAATGTCGTCTCAGAAACTGGACGTACCATCAATGTAAAATCGACATCTTCATCGCCCTCGTCATCGTCGTCATCATCACCTTCATCCTCACCGACGCCATCGTCTTCTCCTTCGTTTCTAAATAGACTGAAATTAGCGTTCAAAAATACATCATCATCATCTCAGAAGTGTTCCTTCAACTTGGGGAAATCCCAGAATTCCAGCGCTGGAAAGAACGGAAATCCCCGCCGGCCGGCATCTTTTGGTGGAGCTGATGTGGTCAAACCATGGACAGGCCGAAGGGCCAGCCAGTACGAGAAGCGAGTCTCCTGGGCCGATGAGCGTGGTTCGGACAAAGCTTTGTTCACTGTCCGGTTAATCAAGCCTCGACTGTCTTCGGAGTCCAAGCGTGCAAGACAAGTTACCCCTGGACAATCCATCCTGCGAAACTCCGGTGTTTACTAGAGGGAGTCCGTTTCTAGAAACATGTTGTTGATCTCACCATAGAGCCTTATACCTGAGCTGACTCACAAACAACGCTAAAGTAGTTTCTCTTGAAACCACCAAAGACAACATTGTTGATGAAATAAAATCAAAACTGACATTGTTGATATCATGAAAAATTGACATAATCATGTTTTTATCCCAAAGACGTTAGTTCAGTTGGATATTTTCGCCTTCAAAATTGACTTATTTTATACTCGTAGTTGTGTATGTGTATAATGTGCACAGGTGTATATTATGAATGACTGTAATGTTATTTATGTAAGAGTGTATGTTGTAAGTAAGTGTATGTTCAGTATGTAAGAGTGTATGTTGTAAGTAAGTGTATGTTCAGTATGTAAGAGTGTCTGTTTTAAATGAGAGTAATTGTATCTGAGGATGTTTTAGTGTATGTTGTGTATGAAATAGTGAATGTTGTGTTGTAGTGTATGTTGTGTGTTAGGTTATATTGTGTGTATATGTTGTGTGTGAGTGTATGTTGTGTTAGGTTATATTGTGTGTATATGTTGTGTGTGAGTGTATGTTGTGTTAGGTTATTTTGTGTAAATGTTGTGTGTGAGTGTATTTTGTGTATGAAAGAGTGTATGTTTGAGTGTATGTTGTGTACAAGTGCAAACAAAAGGGTGTGTTGTGTTTGAGTGTATGTTGAGTACTAGTGTATGTAAGAGTGAGTGTTGTGTTTGAGTGTATGTTGAGTACTAGTGTATGTAAGAGTGAGTGTTGTGCTTGAGTGTATGTAGAATTTATTGTATGTTGTATATGTAAGAGTTAATATTGTACTGGTGTCTATTGTGTGAGAGTTATGCTGTACACGTTGTGATTGAGTGTACGTTGCATATGTTAAATATGTACATAATGAAGAAGAGATTTATTGAAGATATAAATTAAATACCATATTCTGAATATCATTCAAACTTTCTGAGTTGTTGTATTTATCTTCATGCGTGAAGGGTTTGTCCCTTCGGTAAGCGGGTTCAAATCCATGTGTTGACTATCATCGTCAACATTATCATCATCATCATCATCATCATCACAATCAGTGTCACCACCATCATCATCAACATCATGTGTCTTGCCCAGTGGCTTGGCTATCTTGATTCTTCATACCTTGTAACCTCCAGTTCAAATATGCTGACACCGTGCTGTGCCACGACAAAAGGATATTTTAAAACTGCCTACGTTGTCTTCCTCTGTTCATATTTACATAAGTCTGTCGAATTATCATGAAGTCTCCATGTGTTGTCCAGGTGTTTTTCATAGGTAGAAAGCAACGTTGATAGCATGGGAGACGAAGCACTTGTGAAAATTCCCGAGTGCATTGATATCACTTACTGATTCATTCATTTATTCTTCACTATGTAGCAAAAACTTGGTCAAATAGTTTTCCCTCCCTACCACCTCCAGTTAAAAGTTAGCTTTGTGGACCCGCCAGCAGGGGTAGCAATCTAATAACTGAAACAAGCAAACAAACACGCAAGCAAATAAAGAACGTCAATATAAACACAAAATAAAGGCGAACCGCAGTGGGGCTGAAATCAAGAATGAACTTGAAACAAAACATGCTACCACTAGAATGGTCAATGGAGGGAAACGAAAAGATTCCTATAAGCACATCCAGACGTCTTTTCATTTTCTCCCATTAAACTTTCTATCCAAAGTATGAGTTGTTTTAAGTTATTTCTAACAAAGAAATGATTTATGTGTCGTGTTCTCATAAGCTGGCTAATAGGGCTGTACCGAATAGTGACTTTCACTATTCGGCCGAATACGAATAGCTGGACCAACTATTCGGCCGAATACTGCACTCCAGAGCTTGAAGAGCAGACATTGAATCGGTGAAGATGACAATATTTTGACCCTTCGAAGGATAAACATCCATTACAGTCTTTAGGTGGTATACTGCTGTTTCCAGTGCAATTATTTCAGCTTCATAATTTGAGCAGAATTCCCCGCATGCATCAAACTGCTCTTCAATAGATCCATCAGGATAGCCTATGAAGATTCCGTAATCTGCTTTAATGGTAGCTTTGATTGCAGATCCATCAGTATAAACATGTATCCATTCTTCGGGGTAAGAAATTTCTAAAGTGGGTTTTTCTCTCCTCAACCCGAGGGGTTCCACATTTGTATGAAATGAAATAGCGGACAGATTGGCAAGAAGCGGCCGTGACATGGTACAACCAAATAGCGTCTGACCCCATCATGAGACGAAGACATTAATACAATCTAATATCCAAGAAAGATGGCTGGAGACACAGCACATTATCTTCCTAAGACTAGCTTCATCGCCTCTCTAGACATGCAGAGTATATGACTGACAAGGCACAACAGATTTCAACATATGTTTAAACTTTTCGGTGTAGGAAATACGGAGACTTGGCACCCGAAAATGCTGAGCATGTGCTACAACACTGTCACCTGTATGCTGACAATTGAGACACAATCTGGTCTGTTCAAACCCTAATGAAAACCAAACTGCATGGTTCATGAAAAGATATGAATGCACGATAGCTTTTATAAAGGCTACCGGCCTCCTGATATAAGTTTTCTGACAGAAGGATCGAAGAAGAACAAGAAGACTTGGAATTTGACCATAAAGCAATGAATATTTGCACCATGAGGAGTTCAGAAATAATATTTGGTATCTACAGAGTTCGGAGTCGCCGTGATGTAGCGAGATCGGATCGGAAGGTCGTCGGTTCGCTCCCTGGCAGAGCCGGACTCTTTTCAAAAATGACCTTGACTCCCAGGTCCACCCAGCCCTGAGTGGGTACCGGGGACAGTCCCGGGAAGTAAATACGACCGGCGTGATGCTGACCACATCACCCATCTTGTGCCGATTGGTCTATAAAAATATAGGTCTAGCCCTATATGCCCTATGCGCCTGAAGCCGTGGAAAAGGGACCTTTATCTACAGAGTCGTAGTCAAATTCCGAGTAAGGCCATCTAAGGTAACAACCACCTGTCATAGAAAGGTGTCAAAGGTTCATTGCGTATCCTTTACAGGACGTTTCAGAACCCACCCTGACAAGCCCTGGCTGTTGTGTGGTTTTTCTAGGCAAATTTACGTCCAGTAGTTGGCCATTGCCTACTGGACGGTCGGCTTTCTTGATACCACTGTCGAAACCAACGGGGTGGGGGGGGGGGGGGGGGGGGTTGGGGGGGGGGGGGGGGGGGGGGGGGGGGGGGGGGGGGGGGTTCTGCTTAGAGCCTTATTACAAATTTATTGCGAGGGATATCTCAGCAGCAATTTTCCCCACTACCCGCATTTTTAATTTATTTTTGTAAAAAAAAGGGGGGGGGGGGGGGGGGGGGGGGGGCGAGGTGCTTGAGAGAGGTCTTAGCCACCAGGTTCCGGAATCTATGATTCTAATGTGACTTTGAAATCCCAAGAAAATTCCCATTTTAAGTTACACTGACCTAGGAATTCAAGCAGACATTTTTTTTAAAATATAAACTCTAATCGGATTCGAACTCATGACCACTAGGCCGCTAGACAAACCTGCTGGCCAGCGTAATTTTATGGACCCTGGTAAAAAGACTGCACGGACAATATCATGCCCAACCGACTATATCTTTCTCTCACTTTCTTTCTACATCTTTCTCTCTCTTTCCTCTCTCTCTCTCTCTCTCTCTCTCTCTCTCTCTCTCTCTCTCTCTCTCTCTCTCTCTCTCTCAATCTTGCTTTGTATTTTTCTGGCTCTTGGGTTTTCTCTCTCTTTCTCATTCTGTCTCTTCTATTTCGCTATCTCTTTTTTTCGTTCTTTTTCTTTCTCTATGTTTATCTACGTTTCTCTTTTCCTCCTCCCACTTTCTCCCTTTCTTTCTCTCTCCTTCTGTTTCTCTTTCTGCCTTTCTCTATTTCTCCCATTTATTCTTTTTCCCCACACACACTCTCTCTGGGTGCACGCATGCGAGTCGTGTGTGTGGGTATGCGTGCGAATGTGAAACATAGACGCAGAAAACATTTCAACACGTCACTCTGTCACCTAAATAGTCACACCTCTATCTAAAGACAACACGTCACTCTCTGTCACCTAGATAGTCACACCTCTATCTATAGACAATACGAAACTCTCTGTCTCCTAGATAGTCACACCTCTATCTATAGACAATTCGTCACTCTCTGTCACCTGGATAGTCACACCTTTATCTAAAGACAACACGTCACTCTCTGTCACCGAGATAGTCACACCTCTATCTATAGACAGCACTTCACTCTCTGTCCCCTAAATAGTCACACCTCTATCTATAGACAACACGTCACTCTCTGTCACCTGGATAGTCACACCTCTATCTATAGACAATACGACACTCTCTGTCTCCTAGATAGTCACACCTCTATCTATAGACAACACGTCACTATCTGTCACCTGGATAGTTCTACCTCTAACTATAGACAACACGTCACTCTCTGTTCCCTAGATAGCCACACCTCTACAAACAAAAGAGACATTGTATTGTTGATACATTTTTGTTTTCATTGCACTCCCCCCCCCCCCCCCCCCTTTCTTCTACCCTAGTCGATTACTCCCTTTCTATCTCAACAAAAATCCACAAACGCACATTCGCTCACACACATACACACACACATATATGTATATATACATATATAAACACACATATCTACACACACACATACACACACACACACATATATATATATATATATATATATATATATATATAAACATACACACAGACACATATAAAACTATAAGAAAATGTTCATTCAGTGCGTCTATATGTCAATCATACAATGGCAGACAATATGAAAGAAATATTTGCCTCAGGCTACAAAAATATTCCGGAATTAACCACGCGTGTTATTTCTGGATCTAGCGTTGAGCGAAAGAATTATTAAGTATACATTGTTAACCATACAAATACCGTTAAGCATAGACACTCGTGTTAAGTATACACCAACTGTTAAATTTAGAAAAGTGTAGCTGGAGAGGGGT